GACACAGCATGCAGGGCGTGCAGCAGTGGTGGGTCACTCGACTCACAGCTCACCAGCGCAAATGAGCTTGATCACCAGTGCCTGTGTTTCTGGGACTCACCACTGCATGGGAACAGCTGTGACGAAGGGCTCCAGGGCGGGCGACACAGCATGCAGGGCGTGCAGCAGTGGTGGGTCAACCTCGACTCACAGCCACCAGCGCAATGAGGCTGGGCTCACCAGTGCAAATGTTTTCCCAGTTCACCACTGCATATGACAGCAGTGACGAATGGCTTGAGTGCAGGTGACACAGCATGCAGGGCGTGCAGCAGTGGTGGGTCAACTCGACTCACAGCTCACCAGCGCAAATGAGCTGGGCTCACCAGTGCCTGTGTTCTGGGACTCACCACTGCATGTGAACAGCTGTGACGAAGGGCTCCAGGGCGCGACACAGCATGCAGGGCGTGCAGCAGTGGTGGGTCAACTCGACTCACAGCTCACCAGCGCAAATGAGCTGGGCTCACCAGTGCCTGTGTTTCTGGGACTCACCACTGCATGTGAACAGCTGTGACGAAGGGCTCCAGGGCGGGGGCGACACAGCATGCAGGGCGTGCAGCAGTGGTGGGTCAACTCGACTCACAGCTCACCAGCGCAAATGAGCTGGGCTCACCAGTGCCTGTGTTTCTGGGACTCACCACTGCATGTGAACAGCTGTGACGAAGGGCTCCAGGGCGGGCGACACAGCATGCAGGGCGTGCAGCAGTGGTGGGTCAACTCGACTCACAGCTCACCAGCGCAAATGAGCTGGGCTCACCAGTGCCTGTGTTTCTGGGACTCACCACTGCATGTGAACAGCTGTGACGAAGGGCTCCAGGGCGGGCGACACAGCATGCAGGGCGTGCAGCAGTGGTGGGTCAACTCGACTCACAGCTCACCAGCGCAAATGAGCTGGGCTCACCAGTGCCTGTGTTTCTGGGACTCACCACTGCATGTGAACAGCTGTGACGAAGGGCTCCAGGGCGGGCGACACAGCATGCAGGGCGTGCAGCAGTGGTGGGTCAACTCGACTCACAGCTCACCAGCGCAAATGAGCTGGCTCACCAGTGCCTGTGTTTCTGGGACTCACCACTGCATGTGAACAGCTGTGACGAAGGGCTCCAGGGCGGGCGACACAGCATGCAGGGCGTGCAGCACTGCTCCCACCTCTGCCCGCCCCTCCACCTCCAGTGACACCGCCTCCTCGTCCGACAGCTCTGGTGTGCGGTGGTGAGGGGTAGTGTAGGGTGATGGGGGTTGGTGGTGGTTGGTGGGGGGTGGTGGGGATGGTGAGGGTGGTGAGGGTGGTTGGGGTATGGGGATTTTGAGAGGAGTGAATGAGAAAGAAGGAACATGGCACTTACCAGAGATCATGGAGGCTGATCTGGCAATGCATACTGACGTGGCAATACAAGCTGATGTGGCAATACAAGCTAACTTGGCAACACAAGCTGACCTGGCAGCACGATGGGACCTGGGCAGAGAGCACCTCGTCGCCCCATGTGCCATCAGATAGCCACGGGCGACAGCTGGTGGGGTAGGGAGAGGGGGAGGGGAAGGGAGGGAGTGGGGAGGGAGTGGGAGAGGGAGTGAGGGAGGGAATGGGGCATGATGGGCCCCGGAGCAGGTATCACCTCGTCGCCCCATGTGCCATCAGATAGCCACGGGCGGACAGCTGGTGGCGCAGGGAGAGAAGGGAGTGGAAGCGAAGGAGTGAGGGAGGGGGTGGAAGGGAGGGAGTGAAGGGGGAAATGGCGGACAATGGGCCCTGGGCAGAGAGCACCTCGTCGCTCCACGTGCCATCGCGATTGCCACGGCCGACAGCCGGTGGCGCAAGGCGGGAGCGCGGGAGCAGAGGAGTGGGTGGAAAGCAGTGACTTTATGTGATTCTAACAGTGACAGTTGCTTGGGCTGGCGAAAAGGGGAGGGGTCGGGTAGGGAGTGGGGGAGCTAGCAGGGGAGTGAGAGGGAGAGGGTGGTGCAGGGAGGAGTGTGAAGGCAGCACAGAGAGAGCAATGACATGGCGTCATCACAAACTCCCAATCACCCTTATGAGTCACCACAGCAGCCCAGCCGCAATGGATACCCACTCACCCCGCCACCACATAGCAGCCATAATCAGCCTCCCTCCCTCTATGCGCCTATTGAGGTGCGTGCATCAATACTCATACGCCCCCCCATAAATTCCCACTCACCCCGCCACCACACAGGCAACCATAATCAGCCTCCTGAGGCACATACGTGCGCCCTTCTGCTCCCTCTATCCGCTCCATCCGCCCATCCCGCCCCTGCATGTACCATGCCACCCACACGTCCCCCTCCCCCGCTCCCCTCTCTCCCCTTCCACCCTCCCCCGATCTCCCCTCCCCCAGCCCGCCTTCTCCCCCTCCCCTCTCCCCCCCTGCAGCGCGCTCTAGCATCTCTCCTCCTGCCTGTAACACGCCCCCCTCCAACACACTGATACACACACGGCGATCTGTGGGGAACAAATCAGGGGACATTGGGGTATGTGGGGTATTGGCGAGGAGGGGGTGAAGGGGAGTGGGTGGGGCATCTCCCCCCCTGCAGCGCGCTCTAGCATCTCCCCTCCTGCCTGCAACACGCCCCCCTCCAACACACTGATACACACACGGCGATCTGTGGGGAACAAATCAGGGGGACATTGGGGTAATGTGGGGTATTGGCGAGGAGGGGGTGAAGGGGAGTGGGTGGGCATCTCCCCCCCTGCAGCGCGCTCTAGCATCTCCCCTCCTGCCTGCAATCACGCCCCCCTCCAACACACTGATACACACACGGCGATCTGTGGGGAACAAATCAGGGGGACATTGGGGTATGTGGGGTATTGGCGAGGAGGGGGTGAAGGGGAGTGGGTGGGGCATCTCCCCCCCTGCAGCGCGCTCATAGCATCTCCCCCTCCTGCCTGCAACACGCCCCCCTCCAACACACTGATACACACACGGCGATCTGTGGGGAACAAATCAGGGGACATTGGGGTATGTGGGGTATTGGCGAGGAGGGGGTGAAGGGGAGTGGGTGGGGCATCTCCCCCCCTGCAGCGCGCTCTAGCATCTCCCCTCCTGCCTGCAACACGCCCCCCTCCAACACACTGATGCTCACACGGCGATCTGTGGGGAACAAATCAGGGAGACATTGGGGTATGTGGGGTATTGGAGAGGAGGGAGTGAAGGGGAGTGGGTGGGGCATCTCCCCAGCAGCCTGCAGCACGCCCCCCTCCAACACACTGATGCACACACGACGGTCTGTGGGAAGGGGAATGGGGAAGCGAGGGAGTGGGGGGGACAATGGGGCGTTGAGGGGCATTTCCCCTCCCTCTTCTGTAACACGCCCCCTCCAACACACTGATGCACACACGGCGGTCTGGGAGGGGAGTGGGGAAGAAAGGGGAACGTGGGGGACAATGGGGCGTTTGGGGGCGTCTCCCTCCCCGCCTGCCTGCAGCACGCCCCCCTCCAACACACTGATGCACACACGGCGGTCTGTGGGGAGGAAGGGAGGGCGACAGGGGAAAGAGACAGTTGAGTGGGGGTGAGGGGGGTGGGTGGGGCATCTCCCCGCCTGCCTGCAGCACGCCCCCCTCCAACACACTGATGCTCACATGGCGGTCTGGGAGGGGAGTGGGGAAGAAAGGGGAGCGTGGGGGACAATGGGGCTTTGGGGTGCATCTCCCTCCCCTCCTGCCTGTAATACGCCCCCCTCCAACACACTGATACACACACGGCGGTCTGAAAGGCAGGGGAGGAAGGGAGCGTGGGTGTGGGTGACCAGGGGACTGGGGGAGCTGCGGAGCAGGGGGGAGGTAGAAACAGGAAGAGCAGGCGAGCGGCTGGTGGCAAATGTGGGTGACCTGAAGTGCATGCGTGGTGTGCCTGTAGCAGCTTCCACACAGCAGCCATGAAGGCCCGACTGGCAGCACCTGGTGCGACTGGCAACACCTGGTGCGACTGGCAACACCTGGTGTGACTATACTGGTGGTGAGAGCAGCCACCCCCCCAAACAGCCCCATCGGCCCGCACGGGAGTGAATGCAGCAGTGCACTGAAGAGAAACATAAGGGAGCACCTGGTGTGACTGTATCGGTGGTGATAGCAGCCACCTCCCCAACGGCCCCATCGGCCCGCACGGGAGTGAACTCCACTCGCAGGCGACTCCCCACGTCCTCGACTGCCACCGTGTACATGCCTGCATGGAGGGGGCAGGGAAGCAGGGAGGCAGAGTGAGAAGCACCGTTCAGTCAGAGAAGCGCCCCAGACAGACATGGCAGCCACCTCCCCAGCAGCCCCATCGGCTCGCACAGGAGTGAACTCCACTCGCAGGCGACTCCCCACGTCCTCTGCTGTCACTGTGTACGTGCCTGCAGGTGTTACGCAGGGGATAGGGGGGGTAGAAAGGCAGGCAGGGCGAGAGGAAACCTTCAGTCAGAGACGCGCCTCAGAAATGGGTGCAACCTCCCCAGCAGCCCCATCGGCCCGCACAGGAGTGAACTCCACTCGCAGCCGACTCCCCACGTCCTCTGCTGTCACTGTGTACGTGCCTGCAGGTGTTACGCAGGGGATAGGGGGGTAGGGTAGGGCGGCAGGCAGGGCGAGAGGAAACCTTCAGTCAGAGACGCGCCTCAGAAATGGGTGCAACCTCCCCAGCAGCCCCATCGGCCCGCACAGGAGTGAACTCCACTCGCAGCCGACTCCCCACGTCCTCTGCTGTCACTGTGTACGTGCCTGCACAGGGGGGGCGGTTAGGCAGAGAGGCACGCAGGGCGGGGAGATCGTTCAAAGTTATGTGTACGGCTCGGAAAGAGGCAGCTCAAAGACAGAGTGCGTCCTCCCCTGGCACCGTGGAGTGAACTCCGCTCGCAGCCGCCTCCCCACGTCCTCTGCTGTCACCGTGTGTGTACCAGCATGGGAGGCGGTAGGGAGGGATGGAGGCAGCACCTGGGTATCGATCAAATTCAGAGTGCGTATTTCATTTCAACACCTGCCATGTCAAAGTCCCCGCACCTGCAACCCATAGTCTCTCACCTTGCCGCCCAAGCAATCCTCACCTTGCCGCCCAAGCAATCCTCACCTTGCCGCCCCACAAGCTGCTCCTCCCCTGAGGGCGTCATTCTCACCCATGCTACCTGGCACTCGCCCTGCTGCCTGCATGGAGGAAAGATTCCGGGAGGGCGGATGGGGCATGTGTGGGAGGCAGACGGGGCACACGGGAGGGGGGGGGGGCGCATGGAGGAGGGCGGATGGGGTACATGAGAAAACAAGCGGCAGTGGATAGACAGGGAGAAAAGTAATAGGGCTTGTTGACATGCACAGATACGGAACAGGCACAGCACAGGCTGGGCGCAGCAGAGTCAGGGCGCAGCATGTTACCCTCCACAGTAGAGCGCCCGGCAGGTGAGGAGCCCTCCCGGCCGCACATCGCCCTCCACCGCCAGATTCACACACGAGGGGGGCGCTGGGAGGGTATTGGGGGGGGGAAGGGGCGAGGGAGAGGGGAAGAATGGAATGGAGGAGACGAGTGTGCGGAAGGACGGCAGTGAACTCCTGGCAGAGGGGTGAGAGCATGAGAGAAACTTGGTGAGAGTGCGCTGAACAGCTTGCTGCAGTGCAGAGATGGGCTGAAGAGTGCTGCGATGGGTCCTAGAAAGATGCGCAATACAATGCGAACACAGTGGCAAACGCGCTGCCATTTCTCCCCTCCGGCCTCTCTCCCACTCGGCCCCTCCTCGCCCCCCTCTTCAGGCCCATACCTGCCATGATGGGCCCTACAGGACTGCTCTCAACAGCAGCGCCCTCCTCCCCATCGTCCCTCACCGGCACGCACACCACCACCACCACCCGCCCCACCTCCTCCGCCCCCACACTCAATCCCCCATCCTCCTCCCCCTCCTCCTCCCCCTGATGCTTGAGAGGGTGGATGCGGCGCTTATCACTCATGTCAGGAAGCATCTGCAGGGTTGGAGCGCGGTGGGGATGGGTAGGGGAGCGGTAAGGGAGTTGGGTTGGGAGGAGTGTTGTTGGAATGACTAAGTGGTACTAGGTGGTCATTGCCAGTGTGCAAGTGTTGGTGATCAGAAGCAAACAGAATGAGCTGGTGTGGCAGCATGTCGGGGTTGGCAGCACAAGAAATCAAGAAAGCAAGGAAGCCAGCTCGCTTGCACAGGCGGATGGGCAAGCGGGTGCATACAAAGGGATGGGCAAGCGGGTGCATACAAAGGGATTCACACGTACCGAGAACCATTGCACGCGTGTGTTGCCCTGCCTGCCGCCCGCATACGTCCACCTGGGCACCAGCCGCCCGCCCTCCACCAGATCGCCCTCCACCCACACGTCGCTGACGGACGGCAGCGCCGCCCGGATCGGGCCGGCCGTGCAGACTGCCTGGGGGGTGCCGACCACCCCGTCGGATCGCACAGGAGTGACGCGGAAGGAGAGGAAGCAGCCCACGTCGCTAGCGGACGGCATGTGCCGACTCATGCCGCCCCCCGCCATCCGCGGCTGCTCGCCGTCCTCGTCTTCTACCAGCTCGCCGTGTGGCCCCGGCTGGCCGTCCTCGTCCTGGGCGGCAGACAAGGAGTAGGTGGGTGGGCGAGTGGGTGGGTGGGTGGAAAGTGGTGGTTGGGGGGCGGAGAACTGCCACCACTCACCGCAATTCGCCAGCAATCACTCAATTTCGTCACCACTCACCACATTTCACCCCTGCTCACCGCATATCGGTACCACTCCAGGAGCGAGTCCCCCTCGGCCCCTCCCTGGTACGTGTAATACCCCACCAGCACACCCCCCTCCTCCTCCTCGCCCTCCATATCCGCACTGCATTCAACCACCACTCACCGCATTCAACCACTGCTCACCGCATATCGGTACCACTCCAGGAGCGAGTCCCCCTCGGCCCCTCCCTGGTACGTGTAATACCCCACCAGCACACCCCCCTCCTCCTCCTCGCCCTCCATATCCGCACTGCATTCAACCACCACTCACCGCATTCAACCACTGCTCACCGCATATCGGTACCACTCCAGGAGCGAGTCCCCCTCGGCCCCTCCCTGGTACGTGTAATACCCCACCAGCACACCCCCCTCCTCCTCCTCGCCCTCCATATCCGCACTGCATTCAACCACCACTCACCGCATTCAACCACTGCTCACCGCATATCGGTACCACTCCAGGAGCGAGTCCCCCTCGGCCCCTCCCTGGTACGTGTAATACCCCACCAGCACACCCCCCTCCTCCTCCTCCCCTTCCATATCCGCACTCAACACTTGCGGCTCGCCCTCTGGGCGGGAGAAAAGGAAGGGCAGGGTGGTGAAAAGGGAATGCAGTATGGGAGACGGGTGAATCAGCAGCATCGCCCTGATACGTGTGGAGTGGAGTAATATCCCCCACCAGCACTCAACACCTGCGGCTCACCCTCTGGGCGGGAGGAAGGGGGAGAATGCAGCGCAGAGAAAGGTGTGGGTCAGCAGCCTCACGGTTAAGACAGACAGAGTGTGCCTGATAGGCGTGAAAGAGTAATGCCCCATCACCAGCACCCCCCCCTCCTCCTCCCCACTCTCCTCGTCCACACTCAACACCTGCGACTCACCCTCTGAGGGGATGAGGCCCAAGGGGTGGGGCATGGGAAGGCCCACAGCCCACACACGTGGAACTGCACTACTAGACACAGACAAATGCCTACAACCCACCCACCTGTGACTGCAGCAGAGGACACGGCCACCGGCCACCAAGGTCAAGGGGCGACCCTTGACGCCATCTGCCCGCACTGGCACCAACCGGTCATGCCATCCACGCGCCCACCTGTGATCGCACTGCACGAGCGCACATGTCTACCTTTCACACACCTGTGACCGCACTGCACTAGTACACAGGCCTACCATTCACACACCTGTGACCGCACTGCACTAGTACACAGGCCTACCATTCACACACCTGTGACCGCACTGCACTAGTATACAGGCCTACCATTCACACACCTGTGACCGCACTGCACTAGTACACAGGCCTACCATTCACACACCTGTGACCGCACTGCACTAGTACACAGGCCTACCATTCACACACCTGTGACCGCACTGCACTAGTACACAGGCCTACCATTCACACACCTGTGACCGCACTGCACTAGTACACAGGCCTACCATTCACACACCTGTGACTGCAGCAGAGGACACGGCGACCACAGGCCTGCCCTTGACCCCATCTGCCCGCACCGGCACCAGCCGCACTGCCAGGTGCGACCCTATGGCCTCCAGAGGCACTGTGAGGGCCTGGTGGGGTTAGAGAAACGACCAACGAAAGGGGCCAGAAGGGGGAAAGGAGAGAAGGGATCTCGAAGCTGAGAATCCAATCCCGCATCAGACTCTGGCACCAGCCGCACTGCCCCGTGCGACCCCATGGCCTCCAGAGGCACTGTGAGGGCCTGGTGGGATTATAGGTGGTTGGACGGAGGGAGAGAAAGTGGAAAGGAAGTGGGGCGTGTGGGTGAAGAACCATTCCACCTCACTGGGCCCCTCCTCTTGAGGCCCCTCCTCTTGAGGCCCCTCCTCTTGAGGCCCCTCCTCTTGAGGCCCCTCCTCTTGAGGCCCCTCCTCTTGAGGCCCCTCCTCTTGAGGCCCCTCAGATCCCTCCCTTCTCCGCCCCCTGCACCCCCTTGTTGCGGCTCCTGGCACTCACCATGGAGTTGGGTGTTTCAGAGATGATGGGTTGCAGATTCGAAGTTAAAAGGGAGTGCAGCGTGTGAGTGAAGAACCAAGCCACCCACCGCACTGCACCCCACTGGGCTGCACCACACCCCATTGCACTCACCATGGAGTTGGGGGTCTCAGCAGTGATGGGCTGAAGGTCCGCAGTTGAAAGGGAGTGGGGCGTGTGAGTGAAGAACCACTCCACCTCGCTGCGCCCCTCCTCGGCCCATTGCAACCGCACTCGCACCCGCACCTCCCCACCCTCCACCAGCGGCCCCTCAATCGCCAAATCGCTCGCCCGCGGCAGCGCTGGTGGAGGATGGGTGGGGAGGAAAGGGAGTGCGAAAGAGGGAAGAGGGGCTGTGAGTGTGAAGAGCCATTCTCCCACGCTGTGCCCCTCCTCTGCCCATTGCAACCGTGCCCGCACCCGCACCTCCCCGCCTTCCACCCGTCCGTACCTCTCCTCCCTCCACCAGTGGCCCCTCATCGCCACGTCGCTGGCATGGGGTAGGGCTGATGGTGAGGTGCAGGTTGGAGGTGCAGGTTTGAGGTGCAGGTTGGAGGTGCAGGTTTGAGGTGCAGGTTTGAGGTGCAGGTTTGAGGTGCAGGTTTGAGGTGCAGGCTTGAGGTGCAGGTTTGAGGTGCAGGTTGGAGGTGCAGGTTTGACGTGCAGGTTTGACGTGCAGGTTTGAGGTGCAGGTTTGAGGTGCAGGTTTGAGGTGCAGGTTTGACGTGCAGGTTTGAGGTGCAGGTTGGAGGTGCAGGTTTGAGTGCAGGTTTGAGGTGCAGGTTGGAGGTGCAGGTTGGAGGTGCAGGTTTGAGGTGCAGGTTGGAGGTGCAGGTTTGAGGTGCAGGTTGGAGGTGCAGGTTGGAGGTGCAGGTTTGAGCTGCAGGTTGGAGGTGCAGGTTTGAGGTGCAGGTTGGAGGTGCAGGTTGGAGGTGCAGGTTTGAGGTGCAGGTTGGAGGTGCAGGTTTGAGGTGCAGGTTTGAGGTGCAGGTTTGAGGTGCAGGTTTGAGGTGCAGGTTTGAGGTGCAGGTTTGAGGTGCAGGTTTGACGAGCAGGTTTGAGGTGCAGGTTTGAGGTGCAGGTTTGAGGTGCAGGTTGACGTGCAGGCTTGAGGTGCAGGTTTGAGGTGCAGGTTTGAGGTGCCGGTTTGAGGTGCAGGTTTGAGGTGCAGGTTTGACGTGCAGGTTTGAGGTCCAGGTTTGAGGTGCAGGTTTGAGGTGCAGGTTTGACGTGCAGGTTTGAGGTGCAGGTTGGAGGTGCAGGTTTGAGGTGCAGGTTTGAGGTGCAGGTTGGAGGTGCAGGTTGGAGGTGCAGGTTTGAGGTGCAGGTTGGAGGTGCAGGTTTGAGGTGCAGGTTGGAGGTGCAGGTTGGAGGTCCAGGTTTGAGGTGCAGGTTGGAGGTGCAGGTTTGAGGTGCAGGTTGGAGGTGCAGGTTGGAGGTCCAGGTTTGAGGTGCAGGTTGGAGGTGCAGGTTTGAGGTGCAGGTTGGAGGTGCAGGTTGGAGGTGCAGGTTTGAGGTGCAGGTTGGAGGTGCAGGTTTGAGGTGCAGGTTGGAGGTGCAGGTTGGAGGTGCAGGTTTGAGGTGCAGGTTGGAGGTGCAGGTTTGAGGTGCAGGTTTGAGGTGCAGGTTTGAGGTGCAGGTTTGAGGTGCAGGTTTGAGGTGCAGGTTTGAGGTGCAGGTTTGACGAGCAGGTTTGAGGTGCAGGTTTGAGGTGCAGGTTTGAGGTGCAGGTTTGACGTGCAGGTTTGAGGTGCAGGTTTGAGGTGCAGGTTTGACGTGCCGGTTTGAGGTGCAGGTTTGAGGTGCAGGTTTGAGGTGCAGGTTTGACGTGCAGGTTTGTGGTGCAGGTTTGAGGTGCAGGTTTGAGGTGCAGGTTTGAGGTGCAGGTTTGGATGCGGGTGGTATTGTCCTTCCACCCAACTTCAACCCGACAAAACGCAATTTATCTTAAGAAGAAAACGAAGGATGATTGGACTGAACTAGGTTGCGTAGACCTCCTAGAAACAACAAAAAAAAATGGTACTACTTCTCAGATCTGGAAAGGAGGAAAACCAGATCTGAATTTTTGAAAATTCTGGCATTTGTACCCCACCTCTGGTGGGACATTTGACGCGTGAGTTTGTTTAAGACTCGCATACGATACATAAATCCCGCGAGTCTAAAAAAAATCCGAGTTTTTTCATGAGTTTTTTGTACCTCGGAAGTAAAACTCGACTCGGCCGAGTTTTTTTGCCAACACGAACTTGAAACTCAAGCTTTTTGAGTCCCTCAAACGAGTCGAGGAAAAACTAGACTCGTTTTCCCATGTACCCGACAGAGTAGGGCGAGGTAGGGAAAACCAGGAAAAGGAAAGGCAAGGGAAAGCAGGGGACGAAAACAGAGGGGAATGGCAAGGAAAGGCAGGACAGGAAGGGAAGGGAAGGCAAGGATGGGATGGAAAAGGCTGGGAAAGGCAGGGCAGGAAGTGAAGGGAAGCAAAGGGAGGGAAGGGCACGTACGGAGGCAGATGATAGGCGAGCGCGCTGTGACTGGCTCTCCGATCAGACCTGCTCAGTGGTACAGAGATGCGGTGATGAGGAGTGGGATGAGGTGACAAGGGGTAACTGACAAGGGGTTGTTGAGACGAGAAATGCATGCAGAAACCCGATGCAGTGGGATGAGGGACGAATGACCTGGATGGAACCACCTGGAACCACATGAAATTATTTGAAGGCGAGCGGTGTGTAGCGCAGCAGCACACAGCACCAGCAGCACAACCCATGTGTATGCTGTGCATCACCTGAGGAGGCGACTGGCGTGTAGCGCAGCAGCAGGTAGCAGCCCACATCGTCCGCCTGCACTGCGTACTCTCTGCCCTCGCCCACTGGCACTAGTCTGAGGAGGGGAAAGGAGAGAGGGTGGTGGGAAGAGTGGATGGAGAGGGTTGCACCTCACCAAACAACACCACACCCCCTCACACCACTCATACCACCCCAGCACCACCCATAACACCCCAGCACCACCCATAACACCCCAGCACCGCCCACGCCCCACTCACTCACCGCAAACGACCACTGTTGCTACCAGCACCGGCCGCACTCCTTCCGTCTTCCCCCTCCTCCAACCCCCCCTCCGCCTTCCCCCCCTCCTCCCGGAACCACTGCAGCAAACTCGCCCCCTCTGCTCCCCCAAAATAAGTTCCCCTCGCCCGCAGCACTCCCCCCAGCAGCGCCTCCCCCTCCACTGCCACCTGCTGCACCTGGGGGGGCGCTGGATGGGGGGAGGGGGAAGGGCGTGGAGGGAAACGGGGGGGAAGCATGGGGGGAAGCATGGGGAGAGAGTGAGCCCGCATAGGTATAGCATCACCTGCAGCACTCCCCCCAGCAGCGCCTCCCCCTCCACCACCACCTGCTGCACCTGGGGGGGCGCTGGGGAAAGAAGGAAGAGAGGGAGGGGGAAGGGGAAGGAGATGAGCCGGCATAAATAAGCATAGACTCGCCCGCAGCGCTCCCCCCAGCAGTGCTTCCCCCTCCACCGCCACCTGCTGCACCTGGGGGGGCGCTGGAGGGGGGAGGGGGAAGGGCGTGGGGGGAAGCGTGGAGGGAAGCATGGGGGGAAGCATGGGGATAAGAGTGGGGCGAAAGTGAGCTATCATAGGCATAAGATCCCCCAGCAGCACCCCTCTGCGCCCACTCGCACCAAGCAGCCACTCTCACCAAGCAGCCACTCTCACCAGCAGCAATGGGGGGAGAGGTGGCAGAGGCGGGTTCCCCCCTCACCCCTGCAGCAGACACCGGGGTGAAGGAGAGCTGCAGCACACACCCACCGCTCCCCACCCCTCTGCACCCATTCTCACCGGCAGCAATGGGGGGAGAGGTGGCGGAGGCGGGTTCCCCCCTCACCCCTGCAGCAGACACCGGGGTGAAGGCGAGCTGCAGCACACACCCCCACGTCGTGCAGTGAGAGGGAGTACTCCTCCCCACCCCTCTGCACCTCCTCCCTTGTTGTCCCGCCCTGAGCTGTGGGTGCCAAGCGGGTCCAGCTGACAGGTGGGGGGTGGGGATGGGAGGAGGGGTGTAGAGAAGGAGGAAGAGGAGGCGTTGGTTTGGGAGGGACAGGGGAGGGGGCGAGAACAAGCGCAGGGTAAGGTTGGGTGGGTGGGTAGGGAAAGTGCAACGAAGGAGAAAAAGCCTAGGGGAGGGGCAACCGAGAGGGAGAATCTTGAAGCATCTTGGAGGTTTTACTGCACTGCACTGTCCTAGCTAGCACCTGTACTGGCACGGCCCCCCTCCCACCTGTACTGGGGATCTGTGCTCATGAAGAAGGGCAGCAGTAGGCAAGGTCGCCTTTAGCAAAGGGATGATAGTCAACCAGTGAAAAAAGTAACCGTCGAAAAAATTGATTAAGATCCGAACGTACAACTCAGTTCAAACTCTAGACGAAAGCAAACATGTTTCAGCTTTGCACGGGGATCATACCCGCTAGGCCTTCATCAGTGCAAGAGTTCAAAGTGAAAGAGCGAACAAGCAAGGGGTCTTAAAGAACACCCAAGCCTCGAGATCTACACAGGGAAATCCTACCCCGGGCGCGTAACTAGATAAGAAATGCGCCAACTAGACACAAAAGAAAATTCCTAGGTGTCCAGTCACTCTTCGGGTTTGTCTTCGGCAGTCTTGGAATTGGGTGGTGGTAACCTCGCGCGAACCAGGCACTGTTGCACGTTACGTGCACACTTCCAAGCAACAAGAATTCGATCAATATAAAAATTGCGGGTAGAGAGACGACTTTTGAGGCGCCTCAAAAGGGGCAACCGAGAGGGAGAATCTTGAAGCATCTTGGAGGTTTTACTGCACTGCACTGTCCTAGCTAGCACCTGTACTGGCACGGCCCCCCTCCCACCTGTACTGGCACGGCCCTGGCTCACCCGAGCTCCACCCCACCTCCACCATGGCTGTCAGCAGCACACCGCCCTCACACCTGTAATGACCTATGCTTATGGAAAGGCGCATCAATGGGTATGGCCTCTCCTTCTCACCTGTCATGGCACGGCCCTGGCTCGCCTGAGCTCCACCCCACCTCCACCATGGCTGTCAGCACACCGCCCTCACACCCCTAAAGATCTGTGCTCAATACTCCACCATGGCAGTCAAAGGCTGGGTATCCTCTCTATCACTCGCACCTGTACTGGCATGGGCAACCCTTTCCCTCCTTCTCACCTGTACTGGCACGGCCCTGGCTCGCCCGAGCTCCACCCCACCTCCACCATGGCAGTCAGCACGCCCCCCTCCACCGCCTCCCCTCCCAGCGACACATGGTGCACTCGTGGTATGCCCGGGCCTGCATGCATGCACACACACACATGCATTCATGCAAGATAAACACACATCAGCTGAGATGAGAACACACACACACACACAGTCTCCTCGCCAAGCCCCCCTCCACCGCCTCCCAGCGACACATGGTGCACTCGTGGTATGCCGGGACCTCTGTGGGAGCATAATGAAGGGAGGCAGTCAGTCATGAGAGATTCAAACACACATGTGCACACCCATACGTAGGCTCCACCACCTCCCCTCCCAGCGACATGTGCTGCACTCGAGGGATGCCGGGACCTGTGTGGGGGCATGGTTGCATGGAGGCCGTCAGGCGTGAGAGGTTCAAACACAGATGCGCAAGCACAAACACACAAATACACATACAGCAGCAGTCAGCACACCCCCCTCCACCGCCTCCCCTCCCATAGGTGACGCTCATGGACATGGTGACCCGCTCATGGTGACCCGCTCATGGTCACCTGCTCATCCCAGCGACACATGCTGCACTCGCGGAATGCCGGGACCTGTGTGCAGGAATGCATGTGCATGGGACCATGGATGCATGGTGCATAAGTGCATGGGTGCATGGGTGAGGTGAGGGGTATTCACCTACCAGGGGCCACTGGCGGCGTGGTGAGCGTAAGGGGCGTGCAGGGCTGGCCGTGGAGCAGCGGGGTGCAGCGCACAGCGAGACACGCATGCAAGCCTGAGAAAACACAACCCCTGGGAGTGGGAGAGGGGACCTACCAGGGGCGACTGGTGGCGTGGTCGTGCAGGGCTGGGCGTGGAGCAGCGGGGTGCAGCGCACAGCGAGACACCACACGACCTCACAGCATGGCACATACATACACCGGTCGTCTCTGGTGTTGAATTGGGAACATACCAGGGATGACTGGCGGCGTGGTGAGGAGGAGTGGCGTGCAGGGCTGGCCGTGGTAGTGGGAACACACACCTCCTCATGGGAGTGGGTGGGAGTGGGAACGTACCAGGGGCGACTGGTGGAGAGGTGAGGAGGAGTGGCGTGCAGGGGTGGCCGTGGAGCAGCGGGGTGTAGCGCACAGCGAGACACGCATGCACGTCTGAGAAAACACAACCCCTGGGAGTGGGAGAGGGGACCTACCAGGGGCGACTGGTGGCGTGGTGAGGATAAGGGGCGTGCAGGGCTGGCCGTGGAGCAGCGGGGTGCAGCGCACAGCGAGACACGCATGCACGTCTGAGAAGGAGGGCGTGTAGACCTGGTGAGATGGGCGACAGGGTGGTGGGATGGAGGGACGGGTGAGGGAGGGACGGGTGTGGGAAGGACGGACGGTGAGTGACACGCGCACGTCTGAGAAGGAGGGCGTGTACATCTGGTGGGATGAGATGAGAGAGGGTGGACAGTAAGCTTATTGAGAAATACGACAAGGCATGGAGGCAAAAGGTGCACCGCACAGCAAGGCATGCATGCACATCTGAGAAGGGGTGTGTGTAGTGAGATGGGTTGGGATTTGATGAATGTTGTGGGCCAAGGCCAGTGTAGTGTAGCAGTGGTTGTGATGAGCAGGATATAGCAATGGCTATGGTGGCCCAAAGGGTAGTGTAGGCAGTGGCGAAAGAGAACACATGGCCCTCCCACTTTCTTATCGCCCTGAAATTTTTCAAAGATGCCTCCTCACCTCCCCCTCAGCATCGGGAATGGCGCTGAACTCCGCAGCCCCTTTGCCCCGCCGCAGCCACTCATACCGCATCGCCACACCCGATGACACTGATGATTCCTCCTCCCCTCCCTCCCTCTCCTTTCCCCTCTCCCTTGGCCCAACTCCCTCCTCTCTCTCTTCAACTCCCACATCCTCACCCACAACCTCCTCCCTATCTGGTCCCCCATCCTTCCCCCCATCCTGCCCCCCATCTTTCACCCCATCCTCGCCCCAATCCTCCTCCCCATCCTCCCTCGCCCGTGCACCACCACCAGTGCGCTGCAGCAGCAGGCGGCAGTGGCAGGGGCGGTCCTCTATGGGCCGGTCGAGCAGCAGCGACGAGAGGGTGAAGCCGGCAGGAAGCGTTGATGCCCAGTGGGTGGCGAGAAAGGTCACCAGGGAGGCTGGGAGGACAGGGGGAGGTGGGGGGGAACGGAGACACAGGGCAGGCACACACAGTTGAGGGATTGAAAAGGTATGGGGCGGTCCAGCAGCAGCGAGGCAAAGGGTGTAGCCGGCAGGGAGCATGGGTGCCCAGTGGGCCGCCAGGAAAGACACCAGGGAGGCTGGGGAAGTGGGGAGAGGGAAGAAGGGAGGAGGGAACGAGGGAGAGGGGAAGAGGGAATGGGGAGTGGGAAGGTGAGAGACGAGAGGGGGGAGGGGGGAGGGGGGCCAGATGAATGTGAGGGCAGGGACACTGGTAGGAACAGGTGGAGGTGCAGGGGCAAGGGGAGGGGCAGAGGTGGGTGAGGAGCAGAGGAAGAGGTGGTAGCCATCCCATGCGCACACACATGGGCCCGGTTTTGAGTCGACTCAAAACTCGACTCATTACACGAGGGGCAGGGGTGGGTGAGGTGAGGAGCAGAGGAAGAGGTGGTGGTAGCCATCCCATGCGCACACACATGGGCCCGTGCCCTCCCCCCACACATGTGGGCACCTGTAGCAAGCAATTGCTGTGAGGAGCAGAGGCATAGGTGGTACCTACCTGGTATGACATCAATTAGAGGGGACGGCGGCGGCCACCCCATGCACACACATGGGCCCGTGCCCTCCCCTCCCAACCCCACCTTGTGAGCCTGCAAGCGCCATTCACCCACCACAGGTGGTACCTGGTATGTCGCTAATGGAAGGGGACGGAGGCAGCCATCCCATGCGCACACACATGGGCCCGTGCCCTCCCCCCGCTTCTTCCACTGCTAAACGCTCATCATCACTTATAGCTGCTCACACACACATGCATGCATGCATGCGCGTGCGCACATCCACGGGTAAACACACAGAGACATGCACGCATGCACGCACACACACAGGCACACAGAAGCGCACACATGCAGAGGCGCGCACACATGCAGAGGCGCACACACATGCAGAGGCGCGCACACATGCAGAGGCGCGCACACATGCAGAGGCGCGCACACATGCAGAGGTGCGCACGCGCAAACATGAAGCACAAGCTGCTGCATTGATGTCTGAGAATAAATACAAGGAGGGGAGGGATACAAGACAAGGAAGGTGAGGAGAGCAGGGAGGAGGATGTTTTTGAGAATTCTCAAAAACACCCTGCAGGATGAGGAGAGCAGGGAGGAGGATGTTTTTGAGAATTCTCAAAAACACCCTGCAGGATGAGGAGAGCAGGGAGGAGGAGGAGGCACCTGAGGAGTTGGAGAGAAGAGAGGAGGCGGCGAGCAGAATGGCAGCCAAGTGCGGAGCAGGGGCGTCCTCTATTGGGTTGTCGTCCAGACGCAGGTGCTGAAGGGGGGTAAAGAGGGAAAGGGTGAAGGAGAACAAGGCTGAGGCCCCTCACTGTTCTCCTCGACTAGGAGAGCAGGGGCGTCCTCTATGGGGTTGTCATCCAGTCGCAGGTGCTGTTAGTTGGTGGGGGGGGGAGAGGGAGGTAGAAGAGGAAGGTTCGCTGGCTCTGCCCCTCACAATTATCCCTTATGGAGGGAGCAGGGACGTCCTCTATTGGGTTGTCATCCAGACGCAGGTGCTGTTAGTTGGGCGCAGGAGAAGGGGGAAAGGGAGGGAGCGAAGGAGAGGCTTATTGGCGCTGCCCCTCTCAGCTACCCTCTATGGGGGGAGCAGGGGCGTCCTCTAGGGGGTGGAGAGTTGCATGGCACGGAGCAAAGAGCACAAAGGGCATGGAACACGGGTACATGGAGCATGGGGCACAGGGCTCAGAGGGCATGGCACTCGGAGCATGGATAGGTAGGCGGGCAAGGTGGGGCAGGGGCCTCTAGGGCGGGTAAGAAGGGCAAGGTGGGTCAAGGTGGGAAAAAGGTGGGTCAAGGTGGGGAAAGGTGGGTCAAGGTGGGGAAAGGTGGGTCAAGGTGGGGCAAGGTGGGGCAAGGTGGGGCAAGGTGGGGCAAGGTGGGGCAAGGTGGGGCAAGGTGGGGCAAGGTGGGGCAAGGTGGGGCACGGACCTCCAGAGCGGGCAGGAGGGGGAAGGATTCGAAGGAGGCGATGCTGTTGCTGCTGGCTGTGACCACCTGGAGGGGGCAGATTGTGTGTGGGCAAAGAGAGGCAGAAGAAAGAGGCGCATTGGCAGAGAGATGGTTTCAGAGGGCTCTCAAAATCCGACTAGATTCGAAGGAGGCAATGCTGTTGCTACTGGCTGTGAGCACCTGGTGGAAAAGAGAGGAGCAGATTAGAAAACAGAGAGAGGGGCAGATTGGAAAGCAGAGAGAGGGGCGGATTGGAAAACAGAGAGAGGGGCAGATTGGAAAGCAGAGAGAGGGGCGGATTGGAAAACAGAGAGAGGGGCAAATTGGAAAGCAGAGAGAGGGGCGGATTGGAAAACAGAGAGAGGGGCAGATTGGAAAACAGAGAGAGGGGCAGATTGGAAAACAGAGAGACAGGAAGATTGGTGGCAGGAGAGGAACTGGCGGGTGCAGTAGGGAGGGGGGTGTGTTTGTGCTATGCTCGGTTCAGCTCGGTTGAGACAGGTTGTGGATGCGCACCTTGAGGCGGGGTTGGGACGGCATGTCAATGAGACAGAGCGAATTCTGAGACACTGAGAGAAACTGAGGGGTGTAGTGGGTAGAGGGGTGGGTGGGTGACGGGAGGGTGGATGGGTGACAGGGTGGGTGGGAGAACGGACGGGGGAAAGCATGGGGTGGAGTAAGGAAAGAGAGGGAACAGAGGTGAAGAGGGGTTGGGTTGGGGTGGGAGGAGAGAGAAGCAGCTGAGGGTAGGAGAGAGGGGGATGGGGAGGGGAGAGAGAAACAGTGTGCATGGCAACGGTTGCATTGGATGGAACGAGTGTGAAGCAGGAGGCACGAAGGTAAGGAGAACGTGGGCATGGCATGGGAAAGAGCAGGCATGGCATGGGCATGGCGTGGGAGTAGCGTGGGAGTAGCGTGGGAGTATGGGAGTAGCGTGGGAGTAGCGTGGGAGTAGCGTGGGAGTAGCGTGGGAGTAGCGTGGGAGTAGTATGGGCATGGCGTGGGTGTGGCGTGGGTGTGGCGTGCGTGTAGTGTGGGTGTGGCGTGGGCATGGGAAAATAGCAGGACCCATGCCTCGAGGGAGGGGAGTCGAGGCAGTGATGCGAGGGAGGAGATGTGGTTACCCGCCAGGAACAGTTGCTGTGGTGGGGAGAAGGGAGGGGGAGATGGGGGGAAAGGAGCAACTTTTCAGTCAACTCAAAAGAGATGTGAGGGAGGAGATGTGGTTGCCCGCTAGGAATAGTTGCTGGGGGAAAGGGGGAGGGGGAGAAAGTGGGAGAAAGGGGGAAAGGAGACGGACTTCTGAGCTGACTCAAAAGAGATACGAGGGAGGCGATGTGGTTGCCCGCCCAGGAATCCTTGCTGTGGGAAAGGGGGAGAGGGTTCGGAGAGAAGGAGAGGGGCAGGGGAAGAAGCATTTGTCACAGTGGTGAGCGTGAGTGTTGAACACAGCACCGCCCGCTCATACGCTGCACCGACCGCTCATACGCTGCACCACCTGCACCGCGTGTCCCAGCTTCGGGACTGGAGCTGCAGTCCCAGATTGGGGACTGGAGGTGCAGTCCTGGCTTGGGGACTGGAGCTGCAGTCCCGGCTTGGGGACTGGAGCTCCAGTCCCGGCGTGGGGACTGGAGCTGCAGTCCCGGCTTGCGGACTGGAGCTGCAGTCCCAGCGTGGAGACTGGAGGTGCAGTCCCAGCGTGGGGACTGGAGGTGCAGTCGCGGCTTGGGGACTGGAGCTGCAGTCCCGGCGTGGGGACTGGAGCTGCAGTCCCGGCGTGGGGACTGGAGCTGCAGTCGCGGCTTGGGGACTGGAGCTGCAGTCCCGGAGTGGGGACTGGAGCTGCAGTCCCGGCGTGGGGACTGGAGCTGCAGTCCCGGCGTGGGGACTGGAGCTGCAGTCCCGGCTTGGGGACAGGAGCTGCAGTCCCGGCGTGGGGACTGGAGCTGCAGTCCCGGCGTGGGGACTGGAGCTGCAGTCCCGGCGTGGGGACTGGAGCTGCAGTCCTGGCGTGGGGACTGGAGCTGCAGTCCCGGCGTGGGGACTGGAGGTGCATGCAGTCCCGGCGTGGGGACTGGAGCTGCAGTCCCGGCTTGGGGACTGGAGCTGCAGTCCCGGCTTGCGGACTGGAGCTGCAGTCCCAGCGTGGGGACTGGAGGTGCAGTCCCAGCGTGGGGACTGGAGGTGCAGTCGCGGCTTGGGGACTGGAGCTGCAGTCCCGGCGTGGGGACTGGAGCTGCAGTCCCGGCGTGGGGACTGGAGCTGCAGTCGCGGCTTGGGGACTGGAGCTGCAGTCCCGGAGTGGGGACTGGAGCTGCAGTCCCGGCGTGGGGACTGGAGCTGCAGTCCCGGCGTGGGGACTGGAGCTGCAGTCCCGGCTTGGGGACAGGAGCTGCAGTCCCGGCGTGGGGACTGGAGCTGCAGTCCCGGCGTGGGGACTGGAGCTGCAGTCCCGGCGTGGGGACTGGAGCTGCAGTCCTGGCGTGGGGACTGGAGCTGCAGTCCCGGCGTGGGGACTGGAGGTGCATGCAGTCCCGGCGTGGGGACTGGAGCTGCAGTCCCGGCTTGGGGACTGGAGCTGCAGTCCCGGCTTGGGGACTGGAGCTGCAGTCCCGGCTTGGGGACTGGAGCTGCAGTCCCGGCATGGGGACTGGAGCTGCAGTCCCGGCGTGGGGACTGGAGCTGCAGTCCCGGCGTGGGGACTGGAGCTGCAGTCGCGGCTTGGGGACTGGAGCTGCAGTCCCGGAGTGGGGACTGGAGCTGCAGTCCCGGCGTGGGGACTGGAGCTGCAGTCCCGGCGTGGGGACTGGAGCTGCAGTCCCGGCTTGGGGACAGGAGCTGCAGTCCCGGCGTGGGGACTGGAGCTGCAGTCCCGGCGTGGGGACTGGAGCTGCAGTCCCGGCGTGAGGACTGGAGCTGCAGTCCCGGCGCGGGGACTGGAGCTGCAGTCCCGGCGTGGGGACTGGAGCTGCAGTCCCGGCGTGGGGACTGGAGCTACAGTCCCGGCGTGGGGACTGGAGCTGCAGTCCCGGCGTGGGGACTGGAGCTGCAGTCCCGGCGTGGGGACTGGAGCTGCAGTCCTGGCGTGGGGACTGGAGCTGCAGTCCCGGCTTGGGGACTGGGGCTGCAGTCCCAGCGTGGGGACTGGAGCCGCAGTCCCGGCTTGGGGACTGGAGCTGCAATCCCGGCTTGGGGACTGGAGCTGCAGTCCCGGCGTGGGGACTGGAGCTGCAGTCCCGGCGTGGGGACTGGAGCTGCAGTCCCGGCGTGGGGACTGGAGCTGCAGTCCCAGCGTGGGGACTGGAGGTGCAGTCCCGGCTTGGGGACTGGAGCTGCAGTCCCGGCTTGGGGACTGGAGCTGCAGTCCCGGCTTGGGGACTGGAGCTGCAATCCCGGCTTGGGGACTGGAGCTGCAGTCCCGGCGTGGGGACTGGAGCTGCAGTCCCGGCGTGGGGACTGGAGCTGCAGTCCCGGCGTGGGGACTGGAGATGTAGTCCCGGCTTGGGGACTGGAGCTGCAGTCCCGGCTTGGGGACTGGAGCTGCAGTCCCGGCTTGGGGACTGGAGCTGCAATCCCGGCTTGGGGACTGGAGCTGCAGTCCCGGCGTGGGGACTGGAGCTGCAGTCCCGGCGTGGGGACTGGAGCTGCAGTCCCGGCGTGGGGACTGGAGCTGCAGTCCCGGCGTGGGGACTGGAGCTGCAGACCCAGCGTGGGAACTGGAGGTGCAGTCCCGGCTTGGGGACTGGAGCTGCAGTCCTGGCTTGGGGACTACAGCTGCAGTACTGGCGTGGGGACTGGAGCTGCAGTCCCGGCGTGGGGACTGGAGCTGCAGTCCCGGCGTGGGGACTGGAGCTGCAGTCCCGGCTTGGGGACTGGAGCTGCAGTCCCGGCGTGGGGACTGGAGCTGCAGTCCCGGCTTGGGGACTGGAGCTGCAGTCCCGGCGTGGGGACTGGAGGTGCATGCAGTCCCGGCGTGGGGACTGGAGCTGCAGTCCCGGCTTGGGGACTGGAGCTGCAGTCCCGGCTTGGGGACTGGAGCTGCAGTCCCGGCGTGGGGACTGGAGCTGCAGTCCCGGCGTGGGGACTGGAGCTGCAGTCCCGGCGTGGGGACTGGAGCTGCAGTCCCGGCGTGGGGACTGGAGCTGCAGTCCCGGCTTGGGGACTGGAGCTGCAGTCCCGGCATGGGGACTGGAGCTGCAGTCCCGGCTTGGGGACTGGAGCTGCAGTCCCGGCGTGGGGACTGGAGCTGCAGTCCCGGCGTGGGGACTGGAGCTGCAGTCCTGGCTTGGGGACTGGGGCTGCAGTCCTGGCTTGGGGACTAGAGCTGCAGTACTGGCGTGGGGACTGGAGCTGCAGTCCCGGCATGGGGACTGGAGCTGCAGTCCCGGCGTGGGGACTGGAGCTGCAGTCCCGGCGTGGGGACTGGAGGCGCATGCAGTCCCGGCGTGGGGACTGGAGCTGCAGTCCCGGCGTGGGGACTGGAGCTGCAGTCCCGGCGTGGGGACTGGAGCTGCAGTCCCGGTGTGGGGACTGGAGCTGCAGTCCCGGCGTGGGGACTGGAGGTGCATGCAGTCCCGGCGTGGGGACTGGAGCTGCAGTCCCGGCGTGGGGACTGGAGCTGCAGTCCCGGCGTGGGGACTGGAGCTGCAGTCCCGGCTTGGGGACTGGAGCTGCAGTCCCGGCTTGGGGACTGGAGCTGCAGTCCCGGCGTGGGGACTGGAGCTGCAGTCCTGGCGTGGGGACTGGAGCTGCAGTCCCGGCGTGGGGACTGGAGCTGCAGTCCCGGCGTGGGGACTGGAGCTGCAGTCCCGGCTTGGGGACTGGAGCTGCAGTCCCGGCGTGGGGACTGGAGGTGCATGCAGTCCCGGCGTGGGGACTGGAGCTGCAGTCCCGGCTTGGGGACTGGAGCTGCAGTCCCGGCTTGGGGACTGGAGCTGCAGTCCCGGCGTGGGGACTGGAGCTGCAGTCCCGGCGTGGGGACTGGAGCTGCAGTCCCGGCGTGGGGACTGGAGCTGCAGTCCCGGCGTGGGGACTGGAGCTGCAGTCCCGGCTTGGGGACTGGAGCTGCAGTCCCGGCTTGGGGACTGGAGCTGCAGTCCCGGCATGGGGACTGGAGCTGCAGTCCCGGCTTGGGGACTGGAGCTGCAGTCCCGGCGTGGGGACTGGAGCTGCAGTCCCGGCGTGGGGACTGGAGCTGCAGTCCCGGCGTGGGGACTGGAGCTGCAGTCCCGGCTTGGGGACTGGAGCTGCAGTCCCGGCTTGGGGACTGGAGCTGCAGTCCCGGCGTGGGGACTGGAGCTGCAGTCCCGGCGTGGGGACTGGAGCTGCAGTCCCGGCGTGGGGACTGGAGCTGCAGTCCCGGCGTGGGGACTGGAGCTGCAGTCCCGGCTTGGGGACTGGAGCTGCAGTCCCGGCGTGGGGACTGGAGCTGCAGTCCCGGCGTGGGGACTGGAGCTGCAGTCCCGGCGTGGGGACTGGAGCTGCAGTCCCGGCGTGGGGACTGGAGCTGCAGTCCCGGCGTGGGGACTGGAGCTGCAGTCCCGGCGTGGGGACTGGAGCTGCAGTCCCGGCGTGGGGACTGGAGCTGCAGTCCCGGCTTGGGGACTGGAGCTGCAGTCCCGGCATGGGGACTGGAGCTGCAGTCCCGGCTTGGGGACTGGAGCTGCAGTCCCGGCGTGGGGACTGGAGCTGCAGTCCCGGCGTGGGGACTGGAGCTGCAGTCCTGGCTTGGGGACTGGGGCTGCAGTCCTGGCTTGGGGACTAGAGCTGCAGTACTGGCGTGGGGACTGGAGCTGCAGTCCCGGCATGGGGACTGGAGCTGCAGTCCCGGCGTGGGGACTGGAGCTGCAGTCCCGGCGTGGGGACTGGAGGCGCATGCAGTCCCGGCGTGGGGACTGGAGCTGCAGTCCCGGCGTGGGGACTGGAGCTGCAGTCCCGGCTTGGGGACTGGAGCTGCAGTCCCGGCTTGGGGACTGGAGCTGCAGTCCCGGCATGGGGACTGGAGCTGCAGTCCCGGCTTGGGGACTGGAGCTGCAGTCCCGGCGTGGGGACTGGAGCTGCAGTCCCGGCGTGGGGACTGGAGCTGCAGTCCCGGCGTGGGGACTGGAGCTGCAGTCCCGGCGTGGGGACTGGAGCTGCAG